GGACTGCTATGTGTGGCATGCATCAGTTACACCTATGGTGGCAGTGTTGCTGTTGCATATTTGTTGAAAAAAAAATGATGAATGAAAAAAAATTAAAAAAAAATAAAAACTGGACAAACGGATTCCTTATATTTCGATATTTGTTATTTGTTAAAAGTGATATGAAGGTCCATATGGGGTAAGCCTGTGGGTGTGTATGTGTAGAAATATTGACATTGATTTGAGAGGGGAGCTCAGATTTGTGGGAGGAAATCGAAACTGAGGGATTGATGCATCCATAGAGAACATGACTCTTTAACAAGTAAAAAAACTGTAAGTTCGGCCGGGCCGAACTTTTAATACCCTCCACCATTTGGTACAAATTTGGCAATTTTCAAAAAAAAAAAATCTGTTAAAATCTTAAAAATGCCGAATGGCTATACGACGACGTGGACCTGCATAGTCTACTTTTGTCATAAGTTATTACAATATTTAAATGCGAAACTTGAAGAAAAATCTGTTTAAAATATAGCTAAAATCATCAAAATACTGAATATAGGGGGTACCGTTATATGGGGGCCATACGATGACGTGGACCTGCACAGACAATTTTCTGGGATGGGCTGAAGTATCCATTACGAACTTCACATGCGAAATTTAAAACAATCCCGGTAAATAATGCCGCTAAAATCATCAAAATACCGAATATCGGGGGTACGGTATATGGTGGCTATACGAAGGCGGGGACCTACATGGCCCATTTTCTGTTTTATGCTGCAGTATGTATTACGAACTTCAAGCACCAAATTTGGAACGATTCCGTTAAATAATGTCGCTAAAATTATCAAAATACCGAATATCGGGGGTACCGTTATATGGGGGCTATACCAAGACGTGGACCTACATGGCCCATTTTCTTTCTTATGCTGCAGTATGTATTACGAACTTCAAACACCAAATTTGGAACGATTCCTTTAAATAATGGGGCTACATGAAAACGTGGACCTATACATATAATGTTACCCCACTGGAGCTAGAATCCATTACGACTTACAGAGGTCAATTTTTAGACAAATCCGTGGAAAAATGTGGCAAAAATAATCAAAATACCGAATATCGGGAGGTACCGTTATATGGGGGCTATACCAAAACGTGGACCGATATATCCCATTTCCAATACCAACCATCCTAGGGACAATACACACACTTGTGCCAAATTTCAAAGGTCTACGTCAAATAATGTGGGCTCTATCGTGATTTCAACAGACAGACAGACAGACAGACGGACAGACAGACGGACATCGCTAAATCGTCTTAGAATTTTATGCTGATTATGAGTATATATACTTTATGGGGTCTACGACGAATATTTAGAGGTGTTACAAACGGAATGACAAAGTTAATATACCCTCCTACCCATGGTGGAGGGTATAAAAAGAATTCCAAGGTTACGGGATGAATGTTACACCAAGACATCCAAGTACTCAGGAAAGAATTCTAGAAAATTGGTTCTATAGAATAATAATAAGTACACAAGAAAGGATATTGGAAGTCATCTACAGCACTAGAACTTAATAAGCATTTAGGTAAGGTAACAGACAGCAAATGATCTTAAAAAGTACTCAAACGAGGGCAGGGTAAGAATTCTACAACAAGAGACCATAATAAGTACTCAAACAAGGGTACGGGAGCGATTGGAAAGAGATACTCACTACAAAATCATACAAGGAAACTTACAAATTTGTGGTTATAATTAAATGGAGTTCATTCCAAAAACCTGTACCTACGAATCTTCTGTACCCATGCCCCTGTCCATGTCAGAAGAATACACGTACATGCATCAACGCTTGGAAGCATTGATATGTAAAACAAATTTTAAATGTTTTTTGCAAATATAAGTAGATTTTTATATATTTTCTTATACGACGTCATCCGGTCGGTATTATAATTCGCGTTTTTCAACAATTTTTACAAATTTACATAATTTTTCATTCAACAATTTCAATTCCAAAATTGGTTTGACAGTTCATTGTCCCAGCAGCTGTGTCGACGCTTCTACCTATATTCTTCTACCATGCCCCTGCCATTACCTTTGACAACAATAAAAGTATGTTTACATACAAAATTATATCCGGATAATGGTGCGTCTACTCTCATGAAGTTTTAATAGGTTTAGTGAATTAACCTTGAGTGTTTTAAGTACGTTTACATGCAAAACGCTACCCATTTTAACCCTGATAATTAACCAATCACAATAAATCCGACTGGTCAATTATCAGGGTTAATCCGGGTAGAGATTTTATATACAAACATACACGCTTTTGGCCCATTGAGACTAGCCATTTTCAATCGACTCAATTTCTAAATCCAAACTTTAAATATACTTTTAAGTATACTTACAGTACGTTTACATATAAATGGGTTAACCCACTGGATTTGGATTAAAATTTTCATATCCATTACTTATACTTCAAATAAATCCTCTTGAAGTAGGTTAACCCTGCAAAAAGTTCTAACGTAAACATAGCATTAGACTTGTTTAAAATCATAGAAAATATCAGTCAGCTGATCTCTGTTTACATACAAGCTGTCTTATTTTTATACCCTCCACCCATGCTAGAAGAATACAGGTAGTCGCTGCTGGACAATAAACTGTCAAACAGATTTTGGAATTGAAAATGTTCAATGAAAAATTATTGAAATTTGTAAAAATTCTTAAAGAAAGAATATTATAACAACCTCCGATTTGCGTCGTATAAGAAAACATAACAAATCAACTTATTTTTGACAAAATGTCAACTGTATTCTTCTACCATGGCTCCACCCATGGAGGGTGGAAAATTTATTTAAATAAAAAATTGATAAAACAATTGGTCTATTTTATATTAAAGAACTGAATTATAGATTTATTTCACAAATTATTTATTATTTTTAAACTAAGAGGAAGATGCCATTGTGAAAAAATGAAGCGAAGACCAGTTACTCTTACAAAAATATATTAAAATTTCGACGGAAATATATCAACATTTTCTTCCAACTGGTCGCTCATATTGATGGAAGAATTGCAAAGTTTAAAGTTGACAATTCAAAAAAAAAAAAAAATAATAATCAAACGATTACATGAGATTACCTTGATTACAAAGTTATTTCGGTATAATCATGGTAAAAGAATATAGGTAGACGCGTCGACACAGCTGCTGGGACAATGAACTGTCAAACCAATTTTGGAATTGAAAATGTTGAATGAAATATTATTTAAATTTGTAAAAATTGTTGAAACGCGAATTATAATAGCCTCCGAACGGCGTTGTATAAGAAAGCATATAAGAATCTATTATATTTGAAAAAACATTTAAATTTTTTTTGACATATCAATGCCATCAATTCTTCTGCCATGGGTATAATTGTACCTTATAGCATATCTTCATTGGAAACCGAACAACGTAGTTCGCTCTCAGAATTAGGTACACGAATTAACCCGTTCATACGGCACGATTCGTAATTTATAGTAAAATAATTCCTTTTTTCAAAAATTTTGTTTGTTGATTTTAATGGGAATTTATACGAAAATACATTAAATTCTCACTAATATGAATAAAAGAAATGATTTTTTTTCCGAAAGATTTATTATATCATTAATTTTATAATTTTCATTCACGTTTTCAACTTTTTGTGTAAATGTTGAGATTTTGAACATATTTTTGTATTTTTCTATTTTTAAATTCTGCTGGAGAAACACTTGTCAAACATTTTTTCTGCCGATACAAACATTTTGAAAATATTGCCTGTTTTGTTTCCAGTTTTCTGTGGAAATTACAACTCGTGGACAAAATGCGTACCTCGGATGAGAGAAAATAAAGTTTACTTTCGTTTGAATGTACATACGCTATTCAACATTTTAGATTTCACTCATAATTTTCAGTTTTCCCAAAATTTTTCAAAATTTCATTAAATTTTTCTATTTTCAATTTTTAAATGTCATAATTTATTTTTTCGATAAATGCTCTCATTTTTTAGGGATGGGACATATAGATTTGAACAACGTACAAATATGAGTGTTTGCTCAGGAAATTTTGTGTGAAGAATTAAGTAGTTTTTTCATAGTGAAAGGTCAAACAACGGATAGAGAGCGAATCAAGTGCAGTGGAAACGCCACATTATGTGGCGTTTCCACTACACTTGATTCGCTCTCTATTCGTTGTTTGACCCTTAACTATGAAAAAACTACCTAATTCTTCACACAAAATTTCCTGAGCGAACACTTATATTTGTACGTTGTTCAAATCAAATCACTCTCAGAACAACGAAAAAATATGTCCCATCCCTAAAAAATGAGAGCATTTATCGGAAAAATAAATTATGACATTTAAAAATTAAAAATAGAAAAATTTAACGAAATTTTAAAAATTTTTGGGAAGACTGAAAATTATGAATGAAAACTACAATGTTGAATGGCGTATGTACATTCAAACGAAAGTAAATTTTGTTTTCTCTCTCATTCGAGGTGCGCATTTTGTCCACGAGTTGAAATTTCCACAGAAAACTGCAAAAAAAAGAGGCAATATTTTCAAAATGTTTCTATCGGCAGAAAAAATGTTTGACAAGTGTCTCTCCAGCAGAATTTAAAAATGGAAAAACACAAAAATGTGTTCAAAATGTCAACATTTACACAAAAAGTTGAAAACATGAATGAAAATTGTAAAATTAATGATATAAAAAATCTTTGGGAGGAAAACAATAATTTCTTTTATTCATATAAGTGAGAATTTCATGTATTTTCGTATAAATTCCCATTAAAATCAACAAACAAAATTTTTGGAAAAAGGAATTATTTTACTATGAATTACGAATCGTGCCGTATGAACGGGTTAATTCGTGTACCTAATTCTGAGAGCGAACAACGTTGTTAGGTTTCCAATGGAAACATGCTATTAGATGAACGTTTTCCAGAGCAACAATGTAAACATGGCAATAATTTCACTTCGATATATCTGTTAATCGATTAGTACAAAGTCGATCTACCGACCCCTAACAAAAGTGACGTTTTTTATTTGGTTCTTGTTGGGAAAACGCAGCTAATTTTTTCTTACAAAATTCTCCCCTAAAAACAGAAATTAATAAAGCAAATCACGCGAAATTCTTTATTTTCTAACCAAATTCAATAAATTTCAAGCAATACTCCCCAATTGAAAGAAAAATTTTCCGAAATTTCCAATCGAAAAGTAAACAAAAAAATTGTCATCAGCAGACACAGCAACCTACTTCTCACACAAACGCTGCAAGCAGCGCTGCAGTCACACACAAACCGAGCAACAAAAAAATTGTGCGACGTAACAACTGAACTGAACGGCAGCAAGCGAGCGAGCAAAAACAAAAAAAAAAAAAGAAGTGCAAGCTAAGTAAATTCTCGTCAGTCAGTCCAGAAGACAACCAGAACGTTCAGAACGTAAACATGGCAGGTTCAGCACTGAGAAGACTTATGGCAGAATATAAACGTAAGAGTAAAGCCCCCTTATGGTGGTCGCTGACCCACGATTGACTACTAAGGGGCTGCATTGAAAATACAATGATATTGCAAGTTTGGATTGATATATTGATTATGATATTGTTCTTAACTTGCTTTTACAGAATTGACTTTGGACCCACCGGATGGTATTGTGGCTGGCCCAGTTAGTGAAGATAATTTCTTTGAATGGGAGGCGTTAATAGCGTAAGTAGTATTTTGCAAATAAAATATGTTAATATAGAGACTCGCCATATGGAGTGTAAAAAACAGCTCAGCAGCCAGGCAAACTTAAAATTTAGCCACGTACAAAACATAATTCGCTTCAGATTATTCGCAGACCATTTCGAAAATTGTAGCATTAATGGTCCATTGGCGTTTGGAGTAATGGGCCTCCAAAATTTCCTAAAACATGTTCACAAAAAAAACTTTGAGAATATTTTTCCAATGTTAAATTTTAATTTCTTTAAGAGGAAATTTTTATTTTATATCTCCGGAATAATATTCTTCTGCAAAAAAGAAATGTTATCGTTATAATAAAGACGCAAAAAGGTACTTATGATAACTAATCATAACTGAGAATTGACTTAAGCCTGCCATCCTATTAGCAATGTTGTCAGTTTTTCTCTAGAGGATAAAACCAGTTCGTGATTCTGTTCATCATATTCCTTTTTCTCTCCTTATTGTTTTCTGCATATAACGTAGATTTTCCTTCGCTTCCCCTACGTGGCTCTTCAAAGGAAAATTGCAGCCACAAGTTTTTCTACAGATTATCTTATTGTTTTGTAAAATGTAAAACACACACATGTTGATTTATGAAGTTAACCACACGGTCCAAGTCCAACTTAATTTGTTGAAACAATTGAAATAGATTTTACATTATACAATGATTGTACAATAAATTATTCATATATTTTAGTTCTCTATTCACTTCCATACTTTGTTGTCATTTTATAAAAATTCCAACAGACTTTTATTTACATACATGAAAGTAACTACAATTTGATTTCTTAAACATGAAGAAAGTGTTGAATAATCAAATAGAAACACACATTATTTTTCATTTCAGTGGCCCCGAAGGAACATGCTTTGAAGGTGGCGTGTTTCCTGCCCGCTTGGTGTTCCCACCAGACTATCCCCTGAGTCCGCCAAAAATGAAATTCACCTGTGAAATGTTTCATCCGAACAGTAAGATTGGGTTGCAAACTTTTTATAATTTCAATTGAATTAGTTTTTACTTTTCATTTCAGTATTTGCTGATGGTCGCGTTTGTATATCAATATTACATGCCCCAGGTGATGATCCCATGGGTTATGAATCATCTGCTGAACGTTGGAGTCCCGTACAAAGTGTTGAGAAAATTTTACTGAGTGTTGTTTCGATGTTAGCGGGTAAGCATACTAATAATCTAAGTATCAGATATTCCTTAAAACATACGAGATAATAGTCCAAAATTACCTTAAGGTAGTTTGAAAAGGAAATCTAGGATTATAGCTCAGATAGTAGTCGAAGAGCCCTATGTTCCAAAAGAGAGATTTCTAGAACAAAGCCTTAAAAATCTGCGACAATCATCGAAATAGTTTTCTCACATAGTACTTTTCTCTTTTTTACGATTGAAACAATGTCCAATTCACGCTCTAAAAATTTCTCTATTGAAGTTATTAGACTTCCCGGTTATGACTTTACAATTAGTAAATTAATAAATCTAAATTTGGAGCTCATTTGGTTGCATTCTGTAAATCCACAATTATAGTTCAGGTAGCCTCTCTGATATAAGATAATCTTTGATATTGTTCAAAACCTTAAATTTAAAATCCACGATTATTTGTCTGATAATCTTTAAATTAAATCTAAAAGAAATATTTACAAAGATCAGGATTATTATACTGAAAACAGTCTGTACCGAGCCATGTTTAGGTATATCCCACCCATGTGACGGGAACTCTTGATTATGGTTATTTTGAATGTAAGCTACAATGTCCGAGTAAATCTGTTTTTAAAGTTCTCAATGTGTAAAATTTCTTTCTGACAAAAATTTATAATATCAGTCCACTAATTGAATTGAATTGGTGTAATATGGATTCTTTTTGTTCCTGATTTGGCCTAAGAAAATAATTTAATATACGTTCTCATTTGACATAAACCGCACAAAGCGGTTACAGCCGTTTTTTTGATTTTTGATGTCCTCGACGCATCTATTAGCTTAGGGGATATATTCAGCTATCTGAAATGGGTCGTAGTCGGTCGAAACTATCTGCCATCGCTGTTTTTTCTTATTCTTTTTTTTTTTTTTTCTAATTATGAACATTTTATATATTTGATTTTTTGCCTCTACCTGAAAAGTTCTCATTGATTCTTCACAAATTAATAACATTTTCCTTGTGTCATTTTAGAACCGAATGACGAGTCTGGAGCCAATGTTGATGCTGCCATAATGTGGCGTGAAAAACGCGAAGAATTCAATCAAATAGCTAAACGTTTGGTACGCAAAACACTGGGTTTGCCATCATAAATGTGTAAATGTATATGTGTTTTTAGCAATACAATGTAATAATTTTTAGGAAGAAAAAAAATTAAAAAAGCATACACAATAATCTAGAAGAAAATCATTGGTTTAGATATTTTAAAAACAAACAAAAAACGAAAAACAAACTACAACAAGTTATGTATTTACGATTAGTTTTTGGTCCCATTATGGGCCTTGGAATGATAAAATCACCTTCTGTAATAAAATAAAATGAAATTTTTATGTTTTAAACTTCAAATGCCTCTCTGTAATACTATCATTAATCAATCGATATTAAAATTTATGTTAAATGTTTAAAGACAATTATTTCAAAACAAAACTATTCTTTCTTATTACAAAAAATATATAATTTAAAAAAAAACATAAATTTTATTTTTGTTATTAATTTTTTTTATTATAATTATGTGCATATATCACGCAGTAGTCTGCATATACAGGGTGAGATGAAAAAACTGCAACCAACTTCAGACTGCTGTCATTTCTAAGCCACTCGTCCGACACCTGGTAAAATTATTCCAGTAACAGCTCATTATATTGTTTACAAGCGCACAAAAGCATTTTGGTGAGAATTTTCAAGAAAAAAAGTTTTTTGTTAGTCGTTAGAGCACTCCAGCATTTAAATGTGAAAAAATCTTTTGTGTATTGTACAATCGCTCGTTACCGTGATACTGGTAGCGTAGCCCGACGTCAAGGACGTGGACGGAGAAAACAGCAACATCAGCAGAAATGGTTCGAAAAGTAGAGAAGCGACTTGATCGAAACACGCGTCGCAGTGGCCGAAAAATTGCTCGTGAGCTGAACATATCGCAATATTCCATTCGGCAAATATTGAAAATGAGCTCGGAGTAAAGACATTGAAATTGCAAAAAGTGCAAAAACTTACACCGCAACAGAAGAAAATAGACTCAAAAGAGCTTAAGAGTTGCTTCGCTTGGCCGAAAGTGGTGAACTGCCTAATTTGGTTCACTGCGATGAGAAAACATTCGTTGTCCAGCAGTTTATAAACAAACAAAATTATCGTGTTTACTTGCCAAAGAGGTCAGCTGAAAATGTGTACCTTCAGTTGGCCACCAGAACTCAAGCGCCGGCCATGTTGATGGTGTGGCCTATTCTAAAATTTGATGCTATTTCCCACATTTTTAGCTTTCATTCAATAAAAATTAAAAAATATGTAAAAATTATGGCGTTTGACTTTGTTACATTTTTTAACTCATCCTGTAGTATAGGTTTGAATTTCAAGTTAGATTTAGAAAGTTGTGGAATAAAATGTCGCACAGGAGAAGGGCTAGTGTATTTTTAGAGTTGAGATTTTCGCCTACAATAAATCCATTAATTACTCTTGACTTTTGTACAACACTTCTGATGAATCTATATTTTTTTCGAAGAAAGTAGCCCTCGCTGTGTTCGAAGAAGTTCTAATGTACCATACGATATGTGCAACTTCTACATGTGGGAAATTTGACATTAAATGTCTTAAAACCATTTCTTCTTCACCCGGAGTCCAACTTCTATACATTACAGTGTCGAGCAGCATTTTATAAACCGAAAGAGACTTTTAGGATGTTTTAACTTTCCATCCCCGGATTTAAACCATAGTGGTCAGCTTTCAATATAATCTTTGACGGATGGCAACACTGTTTCTCTCTCACACAGTACCAAACTCTCTCTCTCTTGCTATCACCCACACAAACAACCAAGCCGCTTTTATAATGCACACAGATACAAATTTGTATTTTCTTGTTCACAAACAAACCATTCGCCCCATTATCTTGTATTTCAGTGATACCCGTGAAGTACAGAAGTGCGGCTATTACGTGCGGGTAGTTTTAAGAATTCGTTTCGTTCGATTTTGTGTTAATATTTTCGATGAGTGGTAGATACCTTCTCTAACTAACTACGACGACTACTGCTGCTGCTAGTTTTGTTTTAATAACCCATCTAAATAAATGCTCAAATATAGTGCTTAAAAATTACAATAACAAAATTAGTGCGGAATTTTTAAAGCAGCATTTTGGTATTTTTTTATGGAAAAAAGTAAAACAGAGTAAAATATTAACCGAAAAAGCCATCCTATTTTAAGAAAGATTGAAAAACAAAGGAAACGAGAATTAAAACACACTCATACCTACACATCGGCATAACGAAGAAGAGTGCAAGAGAAGAAGTAGTGTGTGGTACAAAAAAGCTAAAAAAGAAAACAGAAACAAAAATAACATCAAGTAAAACACCGACCAACTAACCGACAGGTAAGGGCCAAACGTCAATGACTTGCGAACCAAAAAAATTATCTAAAATATCTTATAAATATCGGGGAAAGGAATGGAATTTCCTGAAAAAGTTCAAGAAAATAACCATTGGCTGAGGCGGTGGTGGGGTTTCCCCCATCGTCATCTGAGTGATTGAAATAAAATCAAGCCTGGTGATTGCGAAATCACTTTGAAGAAGAAAAAAAGTTAAATGAATATCGAATAGAGATGTTAAATGAAATCGAAAAAAAAATGTATGATGAAGTAAGTGTGAAATTGGAATAAAAAATATGACGCATTCAGGGCAGCAGTAATTGTTGTAGCGGCAGCCGCAATTCTTCAATAGCCAGAAACAACAACAGAACCAATTGTAAAAAACATGTAATAATGATTTAATGTGTCGCCTTGCCGAAAATCCCATAAAGCTGTTTGAGGGTGTCGGTGTGTGTGTGTGCGAGAGCAAGTTTTTTTATGTTTCTCAAAATTATCTAAAATTGTATTTTATGCTGTAAGGTAAACGCAAACACAAAATCGATGTCGGTGTCTGGTGGAAAACACCAAACATAAACTCACAAAACTGAACAAATTTTTATTGAATTGCATCATTTGTTCGAGTCCAAGTGAATCTTTGAACACTGCCACCAAAAACAACACATTTACCGACTCATTGTCCGTCGAGCACAACGACAACGACGACCATCCATCCATAACACACATTATTTGAACATCGATCCACCACATTCATTCATACAAATAGATGGCTGAAGCGTGAGAGTACAGAGAGAAAGAGCGGGAGAGTAATCGACCGATATCCATAGTCCACAAAAACTAATTAAAAACTAAAACAACGCCAACAAAATTAATGAAACATTTTGAAATCATGAGACCCAAATGCGAAAAATGGGATATTGTGTTTAAGAAGGGTCTAATATGATTTGCGGAATATTGGGGCATAACTCTGATGCATCAATTATAGAGCTGTAAAAAGGTGATTTTCCATTTATATAAGGCCTATGTAAGGTTTTCTCTCTACAGTAGACTTATAAATGTAATTTCGAACATTTAAAACCTCTTGACGGAATTCAATTTATACGAGATCTATTGGTTTTTTAATTGTAGAAAAGTTACCTTAGGACCTCCATTTATACAAATCCTATAGAAACTCTACTATATTTCTTAAACACAAAACGTAAGCGGTACAGTTGGAGCTGCTGGGACAATGAGCTGAAAAATCAATTTTAGAATTGACATTTTTAATTAAAAACGTATTCACATTTATTAAAAATTGCTTAAAAAACATACCCATATTCTTTCCATTCCATGATGTCTACGTAATAAGCGAGACACAACCAATAAGGCAGTACAACTTCAAAGGAACTAGGAAAAATGCAACTCTGTACCACAGCCTTATTGGGTCCAATAGACTTTCAAATCAAGGTACAGTAGGTTTTGTTTACATTGCATTTTTTGCAAAATGTTTATTTCGAAAAGAATGGTAAAACATAAATGGAAAATTTGTGTTATTTTACAAAATTGAATCCAAGATAAAAGGAAAATATTTTTTATCAAAAAATTGTAAAATGTATTACCCAATAAATTCTAAAATGCGAATTTTTGTTCAACTGAATTGGAAAGTGTTTTTTTTTTTTCAAACAATAAACACACAAAGAAATTGTGTATATATTTTGACAGCACAGGGGCGCTAAAAAATTGTATTTTGGAGGTAGCTTTAGGCTATGGGAAAGTTTTACAAAAAACAAAGAAAAAACGAAGTTCTGGTATAGGAAGCAGTGCGAACTCCAAATTTTCGAATTTGAAATAATTTTAGAGAAAGGTGGGGCAAAAATTGTCAAAATACCGAATATCAGAAGGTACAGTTATATGTGAGCTATACGAAAATGAGGACCCATTATAAAGTCCAAATACCAAATTTGGACAAATTCCGGTGAAAACATTAATACAAATCATGGAAATACCGACTATTTGGAGCTACAGTTATATAGCCCTACACCGCCAATTATCTGCAGAGCGGGTGGTGCCTGTTACGAACTACAAATATCGAATTTGAAATAATTCTGTTGAACAGTGTGACTACTATCATCCGTTATATGGGGGCTATACGAAGATGTGGATTTGTGTAGGCAATATTCATTCATAAGAGGTAATAACAATTATAAACTACAAATATCAAATTTAAAACATTTCCCATGAAAACCGTCAAAATACCTAATATATGGAGGTATAGTTATATGGGGTCTATACCAAAACTTGGACCTATATATACGGTTTTCTGTAAGAATATTTCCCACATACTGGAAATACATGCAACTATTTACAGCAAATTTGGCTTTTTTAAAATTGTGTCTAAAACAACTTTAAACCTGCCGGTACAGATACATGGACATATATAAAAACGTGGACCTATATAACCCATTTTCAATACCAAAAGACCTGCAGACCTAAAACTCATCTGAGTAAAATTCTATCAACCTACATCATTTCGTTTCGTACGGGCGGAATTTTATGCGGATCAAGAATATATACACTTTGTGGGGTCTAAAATGTATATTTCGAGATGTTACAAACGGATATACCGCCCATACTGAAGTCGTGACAATTCAGGAAAATGTACGAAATCTTTAGTATACGCTTTCCTAAATTTCGACCAGTGTCTCACGAATAAATACCACATGTTATGCAAGTCAAGATCTGGCTTTTTGGACAGAAAAAATGGATATTATCTCACGGTAACGGCCACCATTTACATTTTGAAGAAGTACGGTCCAATGATGCCACCAGTCCCTCAACCGCACCAAACTCAGATTTTTCTGGATTCATTGGTAACCTTTGCAATGTTTCTGGCATATCTTCGCTCAAAAATCGACAATTCTGCTTATTTATGTAATCATTGTGCCAAAAATGAACTTCGTCGCAAATGTCAGAAGCGAGCTATGATCTTTTTTAACAGAGCACGTATTTTGATAATAAAATTCGATGATTTTCAAGCGTTGTTCGTTTGCAAGACGAATTATGGTAACATTATAAACCAAAAAAAGGTTTTTGACAGTGAAACAAAACACGAAACGGGCGTGAGCTGCTTAAACCAGTGTATCCAAAAATATAGAATCAAAAAAAAAACCGGTATAAATTGAAGATCTGTAGAATTTTTTTTAAAGGCCTACCGAAGATCCACCGCTTACAGATGTCCCTTCTTTGGAAAATAATTTCGTCTGTAGCATGCCCACAAGAAGCCTTCTTTCTGAATACCTACAGCAAGCCTTTCTATCGCAGGAAATTCACAAACTTTTAAATTTTTATTCAAAATATTCAATTTAAACAAAAATTGAAACATTAAAATTTAATCAATTCGCCTAATATTTATTCACCAAACAATAAAAATAACTAAATTCAAATTTAATTTAGCAACTTTTTCTTTTTTGGCTTAGCACAGGCTTGTGTTCAGTTGTTGTTGTTTTTTTTTTAGATTTGTAGATTTGTTTACATAAGATACTGGTGTTGTTATTGCTTTTAAAATGCTAATGTTGTTGTTACTCTGATGATTTCGATGAATTGCTAAGAATTTGCGATCGTTGTTTTTTAGTAGCATATTTGGAATATTAAGGCGGCAATGAAATTGAGGGAAGGTCACCCACTCACATAGATGAATTTATTTCGTTTTTGTGTTTTGAATTTGTTTATTTTTTTGTTGTCAGTTGTTGTACACGTTCCATGTTTGCGGCAAAGAATTTAGAAAAAAAAGTTATTCAATTTTTGTTTATACCTTAGCGAATGAATAATGCGCAATGATGGAAAACATTGCTTCATATTGGGCGTTTTTTTTTTTAAATTCTCAGAGAACTGGATGGGAGAGAAAGAGCTGGCGCAAATTGTTAGATCGTCTTTTAATGAAATATTTATTGTTTGCCGAATGCCAGTGAAAAATTGCCATGTTTGTTGTTTTTTGGTATTCGCTCAAAACAAAAAGGGAAAATATTCATCATACATCCTACTCGGGGAATCGCCGTATACATGTCAGCGACTCTCTTTTTTTACTTTTTTTCCTCTGATATTGAATTAATTAACTAATAAAGAAATGCAAAATTGAAAAATATATCTATATTCCAATCCAATCTATTGGAATTGTTATTGCGTTTCAACAACTTTTTTTCCTTGTTTGCATTTGTTATTAGTGATCTGCAAATGGAGGGGAATATATTACGCGTCGTGCAGCCATTATATCAATTATCAAATTCCAGAGACCATTGTAATTTTTTGTATTTATTAAGAACATATATATGTAAGTGATACGCAATTAGGATGTCAGACAGACGAACTTCAATTTATCGACGAAAATCTAAAAGCCGGAGGTTACTTAGCTAGTGGTAAAAATAACAAGATCGAAACGTATCACAAATCAAAAAATTTTAAATCAAAATTCTAATACCTGCGTGAAGTTAAAAAACGTTACCTTATTTTTCAAAATTACAAAAGGGATAATAAATCCCAAATCCTGGAATTCACACTATTATAAAAAACAACAGTAAGGAAAGGTCAAAAGTCGTGTCGCGCCGACTATATGAAACCCTACACCACTATGCGTAATTAGTAGAACTCACGTACCAAAAAAAATATATATTGGGAATCTATGTAAAGTAGATCATACCAAATATGAACCAAACAACATTGCTGTATAGTACATGATATGACTCCGATAAGGATTATATTAAAAAAATATTTATTGGAGCAATAGATACAGGGTAAGATGAAAAAACTGCAACCAACTTCAGACTGCTGTCATTTCTAAGCCATTCGTCTGACCGCTGTTAAAATTTTTCCAGTGACAGCTTATTATATTGTTCAAAAGCGTACAAAAGCATTTGAGTGATAATTTTCTAGGAAAAAATTTATTCGTGATGGAATTCAAGCGTGATAGTGCGATTTCTTTATATTTGGCTGTAAAACCATAACGATAGCCACGTTAGAGCAATCCAGAATTTACA